CTCTTCTTTGGTGATACCAAGTTAAAGGGCTGAAACAGGCCTCTTGGGGATGATTGTTTTATTTTTCTGAAAGCCAGGCCACCTAGTGCCCTCTGCCAGTGTTTTATTTTGTCCCAATTTATCTTATTTTTTTGAAAGCCAGGCTGCCTAGTGCTCTCTGCCAGTGTTTAACATTTTTTTACCCCCTTATGACCTGCCTTTGCTTGCCCCAAAACAAAGACTTATCATTTTCCCTGCAACTGGCTGACTGTTGCTCCTTAGGTTATTTCCAAAACCCTTACACTCTAGACTTATCCTTGGTATCTTAAGTGAGCTGGCTTTACAATTTCTCTGTCTCTAGGCTGCCTGTGATCATGAAAACCTGTCTGTCTGAGGCTTCTTCTTGTTGGCAGTTAGGGTGCTACTCTTGCTGTTAACTCTCTTTTTTCTTCCTTTGCCCAAACCCCAAGTGATTTCTTCAAGTCAGACTATAATGTTACATCGGAATCTACATGTGTTCTCAGACTGAAGCTTGTTCTGTACTTTGTATGTTTAACAGTGTTTTGCTGTGTTCTATCTTTTCTCCTCTAGCCTTTGTGCCCTCTCAGCTGTACCAGCCTTGACTCTGCAAGGTTTGGCCACCATTGCCTTGTTGACTTTCTTTTTTTTTTTGAGACAGAGTTTCGCTTTCTTGCCTAGGCTAGAGTGAGTGCCGTGGCGTCAGCCTAGCTAACAGCAACCTCAAACTTCTGGGCTCAAGCGATCCTCCTGCCTCAGCCTCCTGAGTAGCTGGGACTACAGGCACGAGCCACCATGCCCGGCTAATTTATATTTATATATATATTAGTTGGCCAATTAATTTCTTTCTATTTTTATAGTAGAGACGGGGTCTCGCTCAGGCTGATTTTGAACTCCTGACCTTGAGCAATCCGCCCACCTCGGCCTCCCAGAGTGCTAGGATTACAAGCGTGAGCCACCGTGCCTGGCCCCTTGTTGACTTTTTTTTTTTTTTTTTTTTTTTTCCCTTGTTGACTTTCTTAAAAGAAAAGAGAAGGTGGAAACCTTGTACTTATTAGTTCCTTCAACAGGCCTGAAAAAGCCCCCTAGTCTAGCAGAAAGTCTGTTCAGGATGGGGAGGACAACAATTATCCCAAAGGTCTCCCCACTAGGATGCCTCCTCGATAACTGGAATAAATTTAAGTCAGAAAGTCTACAAATAAAAAAAGTTTGTTTATTTATTTATTTTGTAACACTGCATGGCCACAATACACACATTGCAGGATCAGGAGGCATGGCTGGTAAAGGCTCCCTGAAGTATAATACCACTGCAGCTAGATTTGCTTTGCAAAAGAAAGGGAAGATGGGGGGGGGGAGGTCCCATATATTCGAGCTTTCAAAGCCCTTTATCAGGATCCTGACTTGAGGGATGGGTTCGGGATGTGCCCAGCCCACGTAACCTCCGGGCACCAGGTAGTCCCACCAGATATTCTGGATGACCCTCTCCTGGCTCTCCATGACACCCTTAGGGACCTCCCACCCCCACCCCTCCCAACTCTGCCACAAAGGGTTCCACCCCGGGGTCACTCACTGGATATACCGCCTCCCTATCCAACTAACTTGTACCCCCCTATGCCAGATGAAGTGAGCCCAACCGGTAACACCAGGGGTGGGGCCTCATATGAGCCTCCAAAGTCCAATCTGTGTCTGCTATGAGAAGTGGCTAATGGGGATGGAGGAACAATTAGGGTACATGTTCTCTTTTCTATGTCAGGTTTGGCTATATGCAAGGAGAAGTTTGGCTGGTTTTCTGAAGATCCTGGGAGATTTATTGAGGAATTTGCTAAACTGGCTATGACTTTTGACCTAACATGGCAGGACCTGCAGATACTATTGTCCCTCTGTAGAAGAAAAGCAGAGAATCCTGAGCAGGGCCTGAGAGTATGCAGACAGGGTGGCAGCTGGAAATCAAGGCTATGCGGTAGACTGTGTAGGAGACCCTGTTCCAGACCGGGATCCCCAGTGGGATTACCAGAAGGGATCCATAGATCGAGAGCATAGAAATAACATGGTAACTTGCCTGAGAGTATGAAAAACTGTGTGATAAAGCCGGTAAATTATGACAAAGTCAGAGGGGTGACCCAGGGAAAAGATGAGAACCCTGCCTTATTTCAGGGTTGCCTAGTTGAAGCCCTGAGAGAGTATACTAACATAGACCCACATTCCCCAGAAGGACAGTCCCTTTTGGAAATGCATTTCATTTCCCAGTCTGCTCTCAATATCAAGAAAAAACTACAAAAGGGAGCAATGAAGCCCCAAGCCACTATGAATCAGCTTTTGGATATGGCCTTTGGAGCATTTCAGATCTTGGTCTTGGGATCCCAATCAGAGCTTCCTCTGCAAACAAAAGGGCCAATGGATTTGAACTCCTGACCTTGAGCGGCCTCAGCCTCCCAAGTGCTAGGGTTACAGACGTGAGCCACCACGCCCCGCCAAAAGGGCCAATGGAAAAAGGATTGCCCAGTGCTCCCAAGTGAACCTGGGCCACCCAAGCCCTCCCAAGTGAGCCTGGGCCGCCCAAGCCCATGACGATAGAGAAAACAAAGGATTGACGGGACCTGAGGTCTCTCAGGGCTTCTGTAGAACATCTCAATATTGGCCTTTGGCAGTCTCCATGTAATACCCCTATCTTGCCAATAAAAAAAACCCAAATGTAGGTGTGTTCAAGATTTAAGGACAATAAATGAAGCTGTGATTTCAGTCCATCCAATAGTTCCTAACCCCTATACCATACTAACCCAGGTAACAGAGGATGCGAAATGGTTTACAGTGTTGGATTTGAAGGATGCTTTCTTCCGTATACCCTTGCACCCAAATTCTCAATACATTTTTGCTTTTCAATGGACAGACCCAAATACTTATATGACCTCCCAATTTACATGGGCAGTTTTATCCCAGCAGTTTAGAGACAGTCCCCATTTGTTTGGAAATGCCTTGGCAAAAGAGTTGAGGGAATTCCAATTCAATAGGGGAACTCTCTTACAGTATGTAGATGAGTTATTAATATCCAGTCCCACTAAGGAAGACTCTGATGAAAATACCATTCAGGTCCTAAATTTCCTGGGAAAGCAAGGACACTGAGTATCCCCTGATAAAGCTGTTCAAAAGGTCAAATATCTGGGGTATGTTCTCACTCCTGGAACCAGGACTATCAGAAGAAGGCAATATTTGCACTTCAGCCCTCTCACAGTAACAAGCAGTTGAGAACTTTTCTAGGAATGGCAGAGTTCTGCCGGATCTGGATTCCTGGGTTTGGACTTATATCAAAACCTCTGTATGAGGCTTTAAAAGGACCAAATCATGAGACTTCAGAGTGGAACAAAACTTGCCAACAAGTCTTTCTAACCTTAAAGGAAAATCAGGGACTGCCCTGGCTTTGGGATTGCTGAATTAGAAAAACCATTCACCCTTTATGTGGCTGAAAGGCAAGGGCTAGCCTTGGGGGACTTTACTCAAAAGCTTGGAAATAATCCTAAACTTGTGGCTTACTTTTCTAAACAATTAGACCAGGTGGCGACTGGATGGCCTGTATGCTTGTGAGCCATAGCCACCACTGCCCTATTGGTAGAGGAGGCTGGAGTTCACCATGGGACAACAACTGGAAGTAATGACTCCTCCTCAGGTACAGGCAGTATCAGAAGCCAAGGGACACCAATGGCTGACAGGAGGACATCTGCTTAGGTATGAAGCCCTTTGCTTGACACCCTTAAGGTATGCCAGCTTTTAAACCCTGCTACCCTGTTCTGTGATTCTACCTCTCAAGAAGCTAGCCATTCTTGTACTGAAGTTATAGACCAGACTTAATCTAGTGGGCCAGACCTTAAAGATGAACCCCTGCCAAACCCTGATGTGGAATGGTTTCTGGATGGAAGGAGCTTCATCTCTGAAGGAAAGAGAACAGCTGGGTATGCTATAGTTAATCAACAAGAGGGTATTGAAGCTAATGCTCTGCCTCCCCAGACTTCTGCACAAGAAGCAGAGCTAACTGCTCTGATTAGAGCCCTCCACTTAGCACAAGGCTTAAGAGTCAATATATATATAGACTCCAAATATGGATTCTTAGTACTCCATGCTCCTGTTGCTATATAGAAAGAGCAGGAATTGTTAGCAGCAAAAAGCTCCCCTATAAAACAGCACTCTGAGATCCTAGAGCTTTTGGAAGCAGTCCAACTCCCCAAGGAAATAGCCGTCATTCATCGCAGAGGACACCACAAGGGAGAAACCTCCATTATTACAGGAAATGCTTTGGCAGATAGGACAGCTAAGGCTGTAGTGAAGAGGGGGTCAATATCACAGGCTCCGGTATTAAGACTGGAGAAGCCACGCCTGCCAGCACCACCTCATTATACAGCCAATGGAGTCAAATGGGCTGAATGGAGGGGCCTACAAAGGGACCCCTCCCCTCTGGGTGACTCCCAGAAGCAGAACAATGGAAGGTATTTAACCCTTTGCACTCACTTGCTTTTTTCCCCTTATCCACTCAACATTATCCATACTCGACATCCAAGTGCAAAGGGTTAAACACTTCCAAGACTCATCACACCTGGGATGAAACTCTATTTAGCTTCTCTTGCACGTGTCTTTTAGTAGGGGTTAGTTCCAAACTATAAAGATCATCACTGAGGCCTGTGAACTTTGTGCCTCTAACTGTCCTGGAAGCCACCACAGGCCTCCATCTTTACTCCAACCTGTACAATACCGAGGCACATACCGAGGAGAAGACTGGCAAATAGATTTTCCCCAGATGCCGCCCTTCGGGGGATTCAGATATTTGTTAGTGTTTATAGACACTTTCATGGGTTAGACAGAGGCTTTTCCTACCAGTATGGAGAAAGCGTTGGAAGTGTCCAAATGCTTAAAGAAATCATCCCACGATTTGGACTACCAAGAAGTTTACAAAGTCATAATGGGCCTTCCTTGACTGCCGAAGTGACTCAGCAGGTCTTCTCGGCCTTAGGCATTACCTATCATCTTCTCTCCTCCTGGAGGCCTCCATCATCAGGTAAGGTGGAGAAAGCCAATCATATCCTGAAAAGGACATTAGCAAAACTTTGTCAGGAGACCTCTGAAAACTGGGTCTCAGTCTCTCTCCTATGAATTAGGATAGCCACTCAAAGAACCTTAAAGCTTAGTCCATTTGAAATGACTTATGGGAGGCTCTTTCTAACCTCAGACTTCTTATTTGATTAAAAAAAACAAAAAAAAACAAACAAAAAAAACCTCATGGAACCCTAACCCATATTAACCTAAGTCAAGTCCAAACAGCCCTGCAAAGATACAGAAATAAAATATTACCCTCCCCCTTGAAGGAAGAGGTTAATTCCTCTATACGACTAGGAGACCAAGTCTTATTAAAATCTTAGAAAGAGGGATCTTCTGATGACCAATTGCACCCAAAGGGGAATGGCCCTTTTCCTGTATTACTAAGCGCCCCCACTGTTGTTAAATTTCAAGGAATTGCCAGTTGGGCACACTTATCTAGAGTTAAACCTTTTTCTCCTGAGCCATTTCAGGCAGACCTAGAAGAAAGTTCACGAGAGCCTGCCTAGGAAAGCCAACCTCTTGACGGGTTTAGGGTCCTATTCAAGAGAAAGAGAAACCATCATTTAGCTTCAGATAAGTAAATATTTAGATTTGGGTTTTAATTGTTGAATTCTTGTCTTCGTTGTGAGTAATCCATAGTATCCCCTAATATCTTAATTATGGTAGTTGCCATCATAATGCTCTCAGTTGTCCTTGTCCACCAATTTCTTTTTTTGACTGAACTCTTACATACCGTGGCTGAGGGTCAAAACTTAAGTGATTGTTGGATATACCATGCTTCATAATTTCGCAAACATTCTGAACCTTCCCCCCTCCCACTGGAGGGGTCAGTGACAAAATTTGCATTGCTTCTTCTTTCTCTTTCACTCCTCACATAATCTATATATACTCTAAAAACATAGATGGAAAACAACCCCAGTCTATTTTCATACACCACTAGTGGCTTAACATGTCTGTCCTCATAGAAAGGAATGTTGAAAATGAAAGTCAAGGTCTCAAGACCCTCCAAACTTCTCTAAATTCCCTTGCCAACCACAGGATAGATCACTGAATAGCCTGAGACCACCTATTTGGCAGAACAAAGGGGAGTTTGCCTTCACCAACACTTCTTGTTGCTTTTATATTAACTCCTCTGGTAAAGTTGAAACCAGGGTTAACAACCTTTTGCAAGGAGCCAAATGCCTTCCAAATACCAGAACCTCATTGCCAGGGGATATATGGTCCTCCATCAAAAAACATCTCCCATTCATTACCTGGTTTCTCCCATTATTGGGCCTGTCATTGCCATCTTTTTGCTTCTCCTTTTCCACCCTTGATTGTTTAACCTTCTTATTAACTTGGTCTCTTCAAGGTTACAAGAATTTCATGCTAAGAGGATGCTAATGCAAGGCTTCCAACCCATCCTACTAGCCAATTCAGAACATGGAGGCATCCTGCCACTGAGCCCTAAGACCAGATTTCCAAAGATTTTTACTCCCCCAATGCTAGGCACAGCCTACGCCTGTAACATCAGCAGGAAGAAGCTACAGAAGATGGACCTTTGTCTTTCTACAACCCCTTGAGATTGAGGGGGAGTATTATCTCTGAGGGGAGAATGAGACGGGGAACTAGCAGGTACTGCTTTGGGTACCGGCATCGCTTTGGGCATTGCTGCAGCATTGCCTCACTGAGTCAGAAAATTTTGAAACAAAGTTTTAGTTGCCCTGATCAAAACAAGATGAAGGCAGGGCAAGCTCTAAGGGGTTAGAACCAAGATGGTGGAGAAATGCCACCCCTGCCATGAATATTCCTCCCCTTATTTAGCCTGTTGCTTAAACATAAAGGCAACAGGAACCAGGGGACTGGTCCTTGTCTGCAAGGAGCTGGTTCTCTTCTGCAGGAAGGGCCAACCTCTAGTCTGTGGGATAGACTTTGTAACTATAGTTTCTGAATAAATCTGGCTTTCACTTTATTTTGTTGGCTTGTTCCTGAATTCTTTCTTGCATGAATCCAAGGAATCACTTTCCTGTGTCACCAGCATCTGATTGGCTGACCTCCAATGTGTCTGTCTCCAAAGAATAGAAACTGGGTTGGGGGGGGAAATGCTAAATGTCCCAAAGGAATACCTTTTTAGATGAAGGATATCATAGGAAACTCCTCCCACCCCAGGCATCCAGCTACTCCCCAGAGATGACATACTCCCCTACTTCAAACCATCCTCTGGGAGGAATGACCCAGGGACTGATGTTCACTAGACCCTCCAAGACACGTGGCATCTGTGGTCATACTGGGTCATCCCAAGGCAATTCTGAAACCCAGAACCAGGAAAAGATAACATGTGGGCTGAAGACACATCATCATCCTGTAGAGTTTCTTTTTTTTTTCCTTTTTTTTTTTTTTTGGAGACCAGAGCTCACCTTTGTTGCCCCAGCCCTAAGTGGGTGCCATGGCCGTCAGCCTAGCTCACCAGGCAACCTCAAAATTCCTGGCTCAAGCAACCGCTGCCTCAGCCTCCCCGAGTAGGCTCTGGACTAACCAGCCCTGTCCCACCATGCCCATTAGCTAATTTTCTATATATATTAGCGTTGGCCCAATTAATTTCTTTCTAATTCTATACGCAGAGACCGGGGTCCTCCACCATCTTGCCTCAGGTCTGGTTCCCGAACTCCCCTGACCTCCGAGGCATCCGCCCGCCTCCTGCCCTCCGAGTGCAGATTACAGCCCGTGAGGCAGCCCTGCTAGTCCTCCCTGTAGAGTTCGAAAGGGTAACCTCAACCGCCAAAGCACCATTCTGATAAATAAGGCTGTGGCCTACCAAAATTAAAAAAAAAAAAAAAAAAAGAGGCAGAAGGCAGCACCGATTATTTACAGCAGAACTGTCAGGTGGTTATTCTCCTCGCCTTTCCTATGTCCACTGAAAACGTCGCAAACAAACATAAGGTCCTTTTTGAAAAGATCACAATTAAATCGTGGAAAAGAAAAACAAATTACCCCCAGCCTGAATGAAAGTAGCATTGGATGACAAAATAGTGAGATCATATGTGTGTTCTAGAGAGAAGTTGATGTTTGCGAATGCAGGGAAGAATCTGGAAATTTAAGGATTTATTCCCAGCGCTAGGAAGAGCTAGGCTGGGGGACAAGGCTGTGGGTTTGCGACCCTGCCTAATATACGTTTGGAAGCCTGTGGAAAAAGGTCTCCCTCCAGGAGAACAGAGGGGATGGGAATGCCCCCCGTACCACACCCCTTTCCACCCACGACCCCCACACACCGAGTGGGGACCCTCCCCCATGACCCTCCCGCCGTCACCGCACAGTCTGGGGACACGCGGGTCTGTGGCTGTGAAGCTGCCCAGAGAGGGCGCCAGGCCGAGGTCAGCACGCAGGGACGGGACAGGACACCGGGGGACCCAGAGTGGCCCAGCCCCACCCCGCTAGCCGGAGGGACCGAGAGGCGACCTTCCCCAGCGGCAGCGGCGACTGGGGTCGCCCGCCCTGGAGTGGATGGCTGGGAGGCCCGGGTACCGCCACAGCCGGTTCCAGCCGGTTCCAACCAGCCCCTCTCCACAGTCTCGGGACCCCTGCCCCACACACTCACCATTTTTCGGCTTCCGGGTTGTCCCTGGGTCTCCCTGCTTTTGCAGTCAGTCAGGTCTCAGCTCGGAAGCGGCCGCGGCGCAGCCACACCTCCCAGAACAGCACAGGTGCGACGCCGAGTGCACACGGCGGGGGCAGATCCCGCGGTTTCGTGGAGCTTCCCGCCCTCTCAGCGGCGCTCCTGATTGGACAGGTGGCAGAATGTCGCTGTTGATTGGGTAGCGCTCCAGGCTCCGCCCCCTGGCGGCGGAGGGCGAGAAAGGCAGGCGGCGAGGCGGAGCCAATCCAGAGGTTAAGGCCCTTGAGGGGCGGGGCTTCCTTCTCCCGTGGGGACAGACAGGGTCCTCACCGAGGGGATGTTGGCATTTCAGCAGAATTTGCTTCAGGAGGCCGGGCGCGGTGGCTCACGCCTGTAATCCTAGCACTCTGGGAGGCCGAGGTGGGAGGACTGCTTGAGGTCAGGAGCTGGAGACCAAATTAGCCGGGCATGGTGGCGCATGCCTGTAGTCCCAGCTACGTCGGGAGGCTGAGGCAGGAGGATGCTTGAGCCCAGAGTCTGAGGTTGCTGTGAGCTGGCTGACGCCACGGCACTCACTCTAGCCTGGGCAACAGAGTGAGACTCTGTCTCAAAAAAAAACCAAAAACAAACAATAACAACATAAAAAAAAAAAAGGGAGAGAGAGAGAAAATTTGCTTCAGGCTCTCCAGAGCCCACCCTGGCGTCTTCTTGTCCTCAGAGCCATTCCTTCCTCCTCCTTCCTCTTGGACGCGGGGGTCACGAGCGTGCGGGGAATTGCAGGCTCACTGTCCAGTAGGGCGGTCACCTGGCCTCAGAGCAGGAGGGCCACCGGGCCGGCCAGGCCGCCCTGCAACGGGAGGGAGGACCCGGTGTGCTCCGGGAGTCGGGCATTGAGGATGCGCCCGGCCAAGCCTTTTCCACACCTCACTCCCTCAATCTACCCGTTTCCAGAGAAAAACAAACAGATAAAAGCACGCCCACAGGCCGGGCGGGGTTGCAAGCCGCGGGCCTGGCGGGCGCCGGGACGGCGAGGGGCCGGGGCGCGGCTGGGCCCCGGGAGCCGCGCCGGTCAGAGCCCGCGGCGCGCAGGGCGCGTTTTTTGTTTTTTTTTTGCCCGTCTCTGTGGCGCCAGTCTTTTTTTTGTTGCTGGTGCGGCCTGTGTGTCTGTGTGTTCCGGTTGTTTTCATTGTTGACCCGCTTGTTTTTTTTTGTGCTTCCGCCGCCGGCTTTATCTTTACGCACCGCCGCGGGCGGAAGTATATGAAGGCCCGGACCTTGTTTGTCTGTTTGATGTGTGTTGTTGTGTTGTATATGTGATGGTGAGCGTGTGTGTATGGAAGAATGGCCGGCAGCCGAGGTTGCTCCGGCGATTCTTGTTTTCAATTTAGCTGGTGGGAAGCACGCCTTTTTTGTCCAGCCTCTTTGTTAGCCCTGTGTCTCAGTGTGTTTTGTGTTTTCTGGACCCGGCCCAGGCAGTTGCAGAGGCCACAGGGGTCCCACTGCCTTTTTTCAGAAACTCACATTTAAAGGAAAATCTCTAAAGGAAATGGAGACACCATTGTCAGCACTTGGAATACAGAACGGTTGCCGGGACAACAAAAGATCTGATATATTTATTCTGTGTTCCCCAGGGGCCACCATCTAAATTAAAATGCAGAGATGTGGCTAAAGGTGTTTTTGTTGCAGGCATTTTCATGGATCATGATGGGAAGATCAAGCAATGTCTTTCAATGTTGATAAATTTCTGCAAACTAAAAAAAAAAAAAAATTATAGTGGTTGCTGGGTCATGTTAATAAAGAAGATAAAAGAACAGTCCAGAGGAAGAGGTTGACCTAAAGAAACTTTTTTTTAATTTTTTTATTCCTTTATTATTTTTTTTTCCATTTTCAGTTGGCCAATTAACTTTTTATTTTATTTTATTTTATTTTTATTAGAGACAGGGTCTCACTCTTGCTCAGGCTGGTCTTGAACTTCTGAGCTCAAACGATCCACCCGCCTCGGCCTCCCAGAGAGCTAGGATTACAGGCGTGAGCCACCGCGCCCGGCCCCTGACCTAAAGAAATTGAAAGATTTGGAGAAGTCTGTGGACAAGATAGCAGACCAACTATTAATAAAAGTTGAATAAAGAATTTACTGGAATCCAGCAGGGGTTTCTCGCCAAGGATTTGCAAGCTGAAGCCCCCCACAAACTTGATAGGAGAGTAAAAGCTGCAACAGAGCAGTTTATGAAGATCTTGGAGGAGACTGACATACTAATCTTGCCAGAAAATTTCAAAGACAGTAGACTGAAAAGGAAGGGTTTGGTGAAAAAGGTTCAGGCATTTGTAGCTAAGGGTGAGTGACACAGTGTAACAGAACATCTGGCGGGAGAGGGGGCTGTTTGCAGTCTGCAAATTTGGCAGTTGCCAAGGGAGGTGCAGCAGAGAAAGGCGGTGCTGCCCTAAATTACGGCACCACCAGCTCTGCCCTCTCTGGAACAGAAATTTCCTGATTTCTCCAAGGCTGCCTGCCAGAGGCAATTGGCCAATTGCAAATTTTCCTACTCTTTCACTGGTTCTCAGTGAAAAAGTATTGTCTTTGTGATCTTAAAAAGAAAACAAAAACAGGCTGGGCATGGTGGCTCACACATGTAATCCTAGCACTCTGGGAGGCTGAGGTGGGAGGATCGCTTGAGGTCAGGAGTTTGAGACCAGCCTGAGCGAGAGTGAGACAGCCCCCCCCTCTCTATTTAAATAAACAAATAAATCAGAAAACTTAAAAAAAAAATAGAAAGAAATTAGCCAGACAACTAAAAATAGAAAACATTAGCTGGGGGTGGTGGTACAGTCCCACCACAAGATGCAGGGAGTAGGCTGCTCTGAGGGTCCTTGGTGCCTTCTCTGAACAGGTCATGTGAGCCTTTGTAGTTACTTTATGGCTGCAAGGAGGTTCCCCCATTTCTGGGAATGAAACTGAAAAGAATGCATTCATGCAATAGAAACTTACAAAGTTCTGGTCAGCAAATCTTACTAGCCTAGGAACTTGAAACACAAGATAACTACAAAAAATAAAAATAAACCTATAAAAATGTTTTCTTGCTTATGGAGCCAGTTACACATGGTGGCCTGTTCCTGCAGTCCAAGCTACTCCAGAGTCTGTGGCGGGAGGATCCTTTGAGTCGAGGAATTTGAGATTGCAGTGAGCTGTGATCGTGCCCCTGCACTCTAGCCTGGGTGACAGAGTGAGACCCTGTCTCAAAAGAAAAAAGAAAGAAGGTGAAATATTCCCAAGCTAGAGAGCCAGACTCTGAGACAGAATGGAGCCCCAGAGTGCATCAGTCCCAGGTGACAAGGGAGGGAAATCTAGGTTTAACACTGGGAGCTCAACATGCCCTCCTGTCCTGTCCCCCCAGTGTGGGAAGGCTCCCTCCTTCAAGACCAAACCCCCCAACCACATCTTCCCCTGGGTGCTCTGCTGTCCAGTGCTCTGGGACTTCTGAGAATCCACACTCCCTGTGTCTGCCCTGAGCAGCTGGAGGCTCGTGCAGGGAGGGGAGCCCCATGTCACCCCCTTTGCAGCCTCCAGACTGGCCTCAGCTTGCAGCCATTGGCCTCAGCTTGCAGCCATTGGCCTCAGCTTGCAGCCATTGGCCTCAGGCTCTGCTGCCCACTGCAGTGTGTTCACCTGCTTCTCACCAACATGGACCAGTTAAACGGGACAAAGACCTGCAATCCCAGTGTCTGAATATGACACCAGCAGGGCCCTGCTTTCCTCCTGTGTTTGTGTATAAAGTGGAGGAAGATGATTCTAAGATGCTCTGCATGAATTTAAAAACTAGCACATAGGCCGGGTGCGGTGGCTCAAGCCTGTAATCCTAGCACTCTGGGAGGCCGAGGTGGGCGGATTGCTCGAGGCCAGGAGTTCAAAACCAGCCTGAACAAGAGTGAGACCCCCATCTCTACTATAAATAGAAAGAAATTAATTGGCCAACTAATATATATAGAAAAAATCAGCCGGGCATGGTGGCGCATGCCTGTAGTCCCAGCTACTCAGGAGGCTGAGGCAGCAGGAGCGCTTGAGCCCAGGAGTTTGAGGTTGCTGTGAGCTAGGCTGACGCCACGGCACTCACTCTAGCCTGGGAAACAGAATGAGATTCTGTCTCAAAAAAAAAAAAATACATATATATATATATACACACACAAAAAAAAAACCTAGCACATAATTTTTCCTTTAAGAAAACAAAGATGGCAGCAAAATTTTAATTTTCACGTTAACGAAATGTTTCGAACCACTAATCAAATGCGAACCCTCCCCTTTTTCCTGTTTCAGCAGTTCCCTGACCTTCATCAGGTCATGGCTATCACCGGGTGCTCTGTGCCTGGGGATGTCTATGTTCAATTTACCTGTTTGCAACACTCTCTCAATCCACCCCTCCCAATCACTTCTGTAGATAAATCTTAATTAAGCTTTGCATACATAGCATTTCCTTTCAAGGAGTCTAACTGGCCCCAAACTGAATCCACCTGTGGTTCTCTGGTGTCCCTCAATTTAAATTATTCATTTGAAATTGTCTTCCAGGGTAGACTATGATACCTCAGGTAAGTACATTATCCGTTTTATTTGCCTCTCATTGAGAGAAAACACAGAATATTCTAAACTAGCCATCAAACATAGGGCTGTCTCAATACAACTCTGAGAAATCCACACCACAGATGGGGTGTGTAGATGTGCATGCTGCCACCACAAGGAAGAGCTTTCTGGAAAATGGCTCAATGTAGTTTCTTGGAAGACTTTTATATAGGGACATAGTTGATATCAGTTGTCATAGATGTCACAGTTGATAGGTGACACTGTACAATCTGTTTTCATTTGCATGATTTAACTTTTCATAGGTTGATAAGAAAGCGATAAATCGTGCGGACCATGATTGCATTTCCCTGTTTCTGAAAAATGCAGTGAAAAAAATCTGCACATGGAAAGTAGGAGTAACTGAGGTGGGAGGGAGATGACTTGCTGAGGTGACATTTGGGATGAAGACCTGAAATAATATCTTTTTTTTTTTTTTTTTTGAGACAGGGTCTTGCTCTGTTGCCTAGGCTAGAGTGTAGTAGTATCATCCTAGCTCACTGCAGCCTCAAACTCCTGATCCTCCCACCTCAGCCTCCTGAGTAGCTGGGACTACAGAAGCATGCCACCACTCTTGGCTAATTTTTCTATTTTTAGTAGAGACAGGGTCTCACTCTTGCTCAGGCTGGTCTTGAGTTCCAGAGCTCAAGCGATCGTCTGCCTTGGCTTCTTAGAGTGTTAGGATCATAGGTGTGAACCACCACACCTGGCCAGAATAAGCTACGTTCTAACTATCACAAGGTTTTTCCTGTTCTCTAGCAGCTAAAGAAGCACTACCCTAGAGGTAGGCAATATTGAAACAAACTCCTGGGCTCAAGCGATCCTCCTGCCT